GAGGCGAGCGGAGCTCTAGCCAGCGGGAGGGTGGATTGTTCCCATGCCTAGTCCTGACCTTTTCCTGTGAAGCTGTTGTAATAATAGCTGCTGTGCTCTTTTAGGAAGTATTTACAAGTTGTAATTCACATGGCTTCAATTTCCTGGAGCTTGATGGACAACTGAAAATGTTCGGTTGTAAAACCTAATTGCTCATTTCTCACCTGATAACCAGGGGAGCAGGCAGGAAGCCTGAACCTGTTGGGGCTCACACGCAGCTTTCTCACTACAGAGCAAGAATGGCGAGTGAGGAGAGACTGTCAGAGGGCCCCACGACTATCTTTTTTGAGATACGGTGGTGCGCTTTTTTCTCTAGCTCCATTCTGTCCTTGGCTGCTTCTGATGCTTGACATAGTCCCAACCTTGGACTGGTGTGTTGGCGCCTCTCATTTTTCTTCTAGTTATCATTTTAGTGGAAGCCTAATTTTGGAAAACCTCATTTCAGTCCTGAGTTGTTACTTTTCCTTAATCTAAACATTATTTAGCAAATTGTTTCTTCCCATTTATTAGTCATACACTGCACTCTGGAGTAGCGCAGTCATAGCCCATCTCGTTTGTGCAGGGATGAAGAGCTTGCGGTGGCCCGTCTTCCTCTGGCTGGACGGTTAGGCTTCCAGCAGCCATGCAAGCCGTTGTGAATGATGCTGCTGGATGTGGGTATAAAAATAGCTGTTCAAGATTCTGCTCTCGAGTCTTTTGGATGGAGTTGTCTCCCCCTTTTTGCTCGTTTTGCTCTTTGTGGCTCCAGTTAACCAGGGCCAGTCATAGTTTGAAAGTATTACGTGGAAAATTTTAGAAATGAACAATTCATAAGTTTTTCAATCACACACCACTGAGAGTAGCGTGTGAAGCCACCTTAAAAATTAAAATCTTGTCACAGATATAATCTTATAATATAGCCACATCACTGTTTAATAAATTTGAGAGCCTGCAGCAAATAACTAAAGTGATGCAGGAGGGTGACAGTGACTGCCACTTTTTTTTTTTTTTTTAATAAAATTGCTCTTAGATATAGGAGTTAATGGATGACACACACTGAGACTTATATACTAATTGTAACTTTTGGCATATGGCGGTATCTTGGTTCTCATCATTAATTGGCTCTGGGAAGTGCGACAAACTAAAAAATGACGGGTGCCACACAGATTGTGTTGGCGTTGAAAGGGCAGCAAGTTCAGGCCACCAGCACTAGTGATGTTTAGCTTGCATACTGAGCACTGGGATATCATTTTTGTGTAAAAATGCACCAAGTACCAAATTTGCTAAGTTTTGAAGTCAAGTGCCAAGATATGACTGTCGTTCAAAAGAAAGATTTTAGATCATGAGTATCTAGCAGGCTGCAGAAGGAGCCGCCAGTGGTGGCTCTGCGTTGCCTACTGCAGGCACTCGTGTTGCCCCTTCCACTGACATCTGTGTGTGAGTAACGCCCTCTTCTGCATCTTGTCTGTCAGTCTTTCCTCATGCCTCTCAGGCTTTCTGTTGGAGCAGGCCCTGATGAGACACTCTTGCCCATCTTTGGGCAAGAATTTTATCCAGGACAAGTGAAACAAAACAAGCAAACTTGTGTACTTCGATGAAGAGAGAACTCAGAGTGAGATCAATCTGTTAATAGTTTGCTACCTTGGGTTTACGCTACATCAGGTTAAATTTGGGTACAAGACACATCTCTGCCTCTTTGGAGCCAGGGGACTTGGTGGCTTGTTACATGATCTCCTTCTCCAGATTCATAGCCCTGCCTAGCTCTTTGAGACTGTCAGAAAACTTACATGAAGTTTCTTATTGTAGTGCCCAGCTGAGGTGTGTCGTGCTGTTGTGGTAGACGCTTTTAGTAATATGATTACTGTGACAGTTTTTTGGATGGTATATTATTGTTAGCAGACCAAACAGGTGATCCTAAATTACCTCTTCATTACCAGAAATCACACCAGTCTGTTGCCCTTCAGGAAAAACAAATGCTTATTATGTTAGTGCCATTATTTAACAGCGACTAGAGGAGTCTTTTTAAGGTTTGGCGTATGCTTCCCAGAAGTACACAAGCAACAAGCATCAGAATAAGAAAGACAAAAGCTGTCTGAACAGAGCATGTTATAGTGATTTGTTAGTTCAGCTAATGAACTAACATCTAATCCATTCTAGGGTTTTTTTTTGGGGGGGGTGAGAAATTACACAAGGTTTTTCTTTTTAGACTGACTATAGCTGAAAATAATGTTTGAGTTTACTAAATAATCTCTTGCCATTTGCTAAACAAAATACCAGTTATAGAATGCATGTATGAAATATATGTAGTTTTTCAGGAGTTAGAATGTATTGGAGACATAGGTGAAAAAATGAAGAAACAAGAAACTGCTTCTGAAACAGAAAATAGTATCTTTTGTAAGGAAAAGATTGCAGACCCTTTTCATCTGTCTTCTCAGAGCCGCTTGGCATGGTTTCTAAGAGACCTTGCCTGGAAGGCATTTGTACGCAGCTTCTTATTCTGTAGCACTTATGCCTCAGCTTCAAATAAACCCACACTCTGTGACAGCAGGCCTGTTGGAATTAACGTAAATATTTATGTGTCCTTGCCACTGTGTATTAATCTTTTAGACAGTTGAAACAGTTGTGGGTCTGCTGCTTGGAGATCCAAGAGGTTTTGTGTTCACGTGGATATGAGCATGTTCTCCAGCATAGATTGCATTAGTTGGAAAACTGGCTCCGTCACATGCCGGCTGTGGGATTTGGGCATGATACGTAACGTTTTAGTGCCTTAGGAGTCTTACCTTTGGGGCAGTCTATGCAAAAATAAGGATAATAGCTTGTGAGGGTGAGTATTGTAAGTACTGGCACATAGAAGAGCAAAATAAATTCTTATATGGAGAACTGGAAAAAACAAACAGAAAACCAGACTTGAAGAACTTAACATTGTCTTTGTTTTTTTGCCATTTCCAGAAGGCAATGTATAATTATGAAATGAAGCTTAGTGTTTATGGGCCTGAGTTTTACAAGTTTCCTCTGGGCTATGTTAGACTGCCTTCTATGCAGCTGTCCTCAGACTCATTTGGCTTAGATGTGAGAGTCACAAAGGTTTTCATATTTTATGTTCCTTGTCTTCTTCATCTGCTGTAGCACTGGATTGCTAATTTGATGTGTGTTCCCACCTATCTTCTTCAGCTTTCTTTTAGGCATTTTTATATACGGACACAAGAAAAGGAATTCCTTTAGGCATGAAGTTCCGTATTGCTGGCATGATGCTCTCTTTATGTTTGCTCTTCCTACTTAGTGAAGTCGCAGGCACAGTGTCCGTACCATGTACATTTCCAGGTCCGTGCAGGCCCTGAAGCCCTTGCAGGCAAGCATCCTGGACTCAGTTTTATTCGGAGGCACTAAACTACCTGAGAGATGGGTCAGAAAGATCTGAAAGCACTGCCGTCTCTTCTCTGTGCTGTGTTGAGTGACTAAGAAAGAAGTAGACATTTTCCTCTTTCCTGTATTTTTCTCAGCCCTTTCCTGCAGTGTGAGAGCTACCACAATGGATGTACAATGGTCATGGCCTGAAGAATAACTGGTTATTCATTAGTACCATTTTCATTGACTTTTCCAAATGGAAGTAGTAATTCAATTGAATTCTGCTTCTCCTCTCCTTTTTGTAGACATTTTTAGAGCCAGACTTTTATTTAACATGTCGATAGGTAGAGCATCCCCTGGGTGTACTTCAGTGGCATTATTGTGTCAAGTTGTACATGCAGTATCTCAACACTTTGCATCTGTGGTTAGGTTTGGGATGCTTTGGGAAATGGTTGGACAGACAGAGTGAACGGATAGAAACTGTGGGATTGTATTGAAATATTCTAATTTTTACTTACATGCTCAGTAGCTCAGCTTCTTTCCTCAATTTTTTTTTTAATCTTTTTTTTTTTTTTTAATCTTTTTTTTAGACAAGGTCTCCAAGCTGGATTTGAACTAGGCCAAGCTAGTCTTGAACTCCTGCCTTGGTTTCCTGAGAGTTGGGACTACAGGGCTATGCCACCATGTCCAGTCCTTATCTTTATGAATGTATTAGATTAAAAAGTTATCTGCAATTGCTTCTTCTTAAATTTTACACACACACATCTTTCTAAAATGTGTATTTGGTTCTAGCAGTGTGTTACAAAATTACACAGGTGGGTTTGTATTTTGAGCATCAGAACTTGTTTATTCTTTGTCCCCCTTCCCCCCTTAATTGCAGTTTTAAATTGAACTCCTATGTATAAGTAGGTGAAAGTGTACATTTAGTGAAGAAGTGCATGCAGGGAGAGTCAGTCTAGTTGCCTCAGCCATGTGCCACAAGGGTAAGGAATAGAATTTAAAATTATTTTGTTCTAAAAAGCCATTTTTTTTTTTTTAGAGTAAGCCAGTCCCACAAGTCATAACTATGGCTTTTTATATTCTATGGCTAGAATATTTTTACTCATTCAAAGACAGTGAATTGAGATTTAGAAATAGAGTTGATGATAATGGGTAAATAGGATGCTATTGCAGGTTGGGTCTATTAGAATATGTAAAACTTTAGTGAAATAGCCAGTTAACTCCAAGTTAGGTTTCATTTCTGGCTTTGGAAGTCTTCACTGCCATCTCTTCTCTGTGCTGTGCCAAGTGATTAAGAGGTAGACGTTTTCCTCTTTACTGTATTCTTAGCCCTTTCTGGCAATGTGAGCAAGTTTTTGGGTCAGCCCTCATGGTGGGCTGGAGTACTGAATACTAAGAAGACCCTCAGGGATTCAGGAAGGGCTAGTGGCTGCATTGAGCGGTACACTTCAGCACCTATCCTGTCTCTTCATTTTGTGACTTAGCAG